TTTTTTTCCACTATGATCATGTTAATCAGTCCCGTTTTTCACACATAGACTTAAAACCGTCTTGCTGTCTGTGTCGGTTAACGTTCCTGTTTCTGTGTGTTTACAAAGGCTGCCCACCATGTTACGGCCATTTATACAGATGAATCATGACTTAATTGGATGTAATTAGCTCAGTTGTTTTTCAATAAACTATTCCTGGCAAAGTGAAGTGGAGTGGTTGGAGGTTTAGGGCAGAGTAAAAAATATGTTATTTTTTTTATCATCATCAATCATCATTATTATTATTATTATTATTATTATTATTATTAAACACATCTTTTCTCTGTATTTTTTTTCTGCATGGAAGATCGACCTGGCATGGCTGTGTCACCTTTAAGGAGGGGGTCATCAATTGAGTTATTTCTTCCAACAGCATCATGAGTGATACACCTGCCTCTCTGTGTTTGACTTTGTGTCTCCTGGACAAAGCCACTAAAGGAGCAAAGGTTGCCACTAATTATATATATTTAAGCTCAGAGCTTTCTTGGTTTCCCTACTTTCTCTGTTAGTTAAGGCCACTGCCATTATCTGTTTACTTTTACTTTAATACAGAAAGTACCCTTAGACTAATGCACTAATGTGTCTGCTCTGTCTTTTCAAACCCCCACTCAGTCACAGCTGCCAAACACCGAGTCAAGTTCTGCTGGAGGTTTATTGAAAAGAGTGCTGTTTTTTTTTTCACCACTCCCAAAATATGGGATGTGATGGCAACAACAGCAGCAATAGCAGAAGAAAACTCGATAACAGCAGTGGAAGATTTTCCAACTTTCTTGTGTTGTGTTGTGTCACTCTAGTGTGCACGTCTATATGTATGAAATTTTATACACAAATTTTGCTGGTCGCTTGGCCAGACGAGGGAAGGCAATTGCCGCCTCATCACACAAGTTCAATAGGAAATGAATGAATGAACGTTGAACCAATAAGGCAATCAGCGGTCTACTGTTGCCACGTGCTTTCTTCTTTTGATTGACTGAAGCAGTGTTGAAGACTTCATGTAATCAACAGCCACTGTTATCATGATTTCTATGTATTTCTATGTATCTATGTATCACCCCTTCATGATTAGATTGATTTTTCTGTATATAAACTGTTTTTTTTTTTTTTTTGGCCTTTTGATAACTTTTTTTTTTAATTGGTACTTTATAATAAACAGAACTGAATTGAAATATATTGTTTTTCCCCCCTCTGGCAGAAGGACAACTAAACAAATAAAGTCCAGTCAGATTTTGTATCTTCAGAATCTCCTAACTGGGAGTTTTTTGGTCTGCCATGACCTTTCTTGTTGTCCCCTTCGTTGTGGGCTGAGAGTCAGCAGTGATGAGTCAGGAAGGAGGATGGAGGGATGGTGAGTGTTGCTCCTCCTCCAGACAGTCTGCCTCCACTCTGTGAACATGAAGCGGTGCGGTTTGCTAATGTGGCTGGGGAGAGAGCGGCAGGGCTAAGATGTCATGTCTGTCTGTTGGCTAACAATTAAATGTGGCACCTCAAGCAGATCAATTTGACTTTGAGGCTTCAGGTTTTATCTCCTCACTCATACCGCTCATTTTTCCCCCCTTGTCTCCCTCCCTTACCCTCTTGCTCTCTTCTGCATTTTTCATTCCCCTCCTTTTGGTGCCTTAACACTTCTAATTTCCTCTAATGTCGCCTGTGCCTAAAGACCAAATGGTGTCTTCTTCTTCTTTAAAGGAAAAGTCAAATTTACACAAAACAGTCTGAACTCAGGATTAGAATTAAATAGCTGTAAAAAAATAAAAAATAAAAAAAAAAATAAAAAAAATAACAGCCTCCGCGCCAGACAGACTCCTGCTTCAGGACGGAGACGAGCGATGCTGCGGGGAAACACAACACCGGCACAAACCAGCACTTGAAATATCAACGCTGCAGCCTTCTAATTAAAGCCAAGACTAATGGGCTCTAATTGTGCCGCTAAAATGTACCAGTTCTCTCTTCTCTCTAGTGTAACTTGACTACACGTCTTCACATATGGATTAATGGGGACCGGAGCTGCAAAAAGTAAAAAGCAGTTAATTCATTGGAAGATCTGTGAAAGGGGAGAAAGAGGGGAAGAGCAAAGAAACGTTGGAAGATGATGAAGAAGAGAGAGATGCATAAATAGTGTCAGGGTGGCACTGACGATGCCTTCTCTAGCCGTCTCAAGAGGTTGCTTTTAGATCGTCCTTGTTAGTTGTACTCATCAAATCTGACAGCAGGGCAATAGCTGCATTAATTACCTTTACTTGTGCTTTTAAATTTGTAAGCAGAGTTGATGGGCTGAGGGAAATATGACAATTTTAAGCAATAGGATATTGTTTTGATTTCTGTTTGTGTGGTTTATTTTGTTGAAAAGCTCAAAATAAGATGGCTTGAGCCATTTTAAAGAAACAAATGTTCTCAAAAAGAGCATAATAAACAAGGCTGAAAGATTCCTTGCAGAAAGAAGGAAACCCATCAAAGCTGGTTTCTCTTCTAACCTGTTTGTTTGCAGGGTGTTCTCTCAATTAAAGAGTTCTTTTATTGCATGGTGCTGTAAGTTCATTTTGAGGGTGATGTTTCTTTGGGGTGATTTCTTGGCACAGCTACAAGTGCAAAGAATTTTCTTCACTGCATTTAAATCTTCAGTTTTTGGGTGAGACCCAGCAATGTTGCATGAAGGTTCAGTTTATTGCAAAGGTAAGGGTTTGTAATAACATGCAAGTTAACTGAATGTTTTACAGCATCTTAACAAGATGCTGATTTTCATAATAGCAAAATGTACTTCAAACTGTGCACAAGAAGGATTAAAATGGTTATTATGTGATGTTTATTTGCATTAGTCTGGCAACTAATCTTAATGTCTTACAGTCAGGTTAAAGATGTAAATTGGTTTTCTAGTTTGGAAAACTATAGTGTTTTTTTTTTTTTTTTATATGAATATACCATAATCGTAGAGCATCTGTATGTGACAGACTGATACAACCTAGCACATAGTTATGAAGAGGAAGGAAATTATGACTGAATACTAACTAAGCTTTGCATGAATTTGACTCTGTTGAGTCAGACATTAGCACAATTCAATGCAATTATGTACAAAGTCTCTCAATTTTTATTTAAGTTTCACACATGAATATGATTGAGTCTAAGCCATTCCATCATAGCTCTGCTGCATGTTTAGGGCTGTTGTTGAAAGTTGAACCTCTATAATCTGAAGTCGTTTTTTTCCAAATTGTCTTCCAGAGTTGCCATATGTTTAGTCTCATTAAACTCCTCATACACTATGTCAGAGGTTCCCAAACTGTGGGTCGCGCCCCCTAGGGGGGGCGCCGTGCCATTGCATGGGGGGCGCGGGAAGCCATCTGGATGAAAATTAAAAAAACATAAAAAATAAAAAAAAACATGAACACTGTATGCGCTGGATTTTTACCTTAGAATGGCCAACTCTCTGTTATTCCTATGTCAATTTGATATAGTAGAGGCTACACTTCCCATATCTGTGTCCTCTGTCACTTTTATCAGCAGTGAAAACTGTTTAATCCGTTGTTAACATGTTGTAACCTGTTTTTCCGAGCCGCAACATGAGCACTACGACACTCGCGCTGGGTTTACACCTGTGCGGCAGTGAAGGAGACCTGCTGCTGCTGTGCAGAGCTATGCAGGTTTGTGTTAGAATCACGGCAGCAAACCAGCAAAACGCAAAGAACTTTTCACAGTTTTTCCCCCAAACTAACTGACTGAGTTGAGTAAAGCTGCTGGATGTAGGTAATGTTAGCTAAAAGATGACTAGCTAATATCAATACATCACCTTAAGCTTGTTAACAAACAAAAACAGCATCTGAAATAATTTCATAATTATTCACATTTTTTTTCTGGGTTTATCCAAATAAAATAAGTTATTGACACAAACATTGCAAACATATAAAAAAGTAACATTTCTGAGAACATTTGTGCGAAGCGCACTGTGTATTACTGAGTAATACTTTTACAATCGCTTGAATTATAAAGCATTTGTGCTGTTGCCATAAAAATCATTGACGATTGGCAGGAAATAGAAAGTGTCCGTGAGCCATACAGTCAACTCTCTGTCTCTAAATAAATGTGGCTTATGACAACATCATAACACTTCCTCCTTCGCTTTCCATGGACAACAATTGTTGTCATTGTTGCAGAAATGTGCTCGTGTCGTTTTAGGGACTTTTTTTTTTTTTAAACCTTATCCTGAATGTTTCATTGAGCGGAGAACTAGTAGGGCCACTGTAGTCCAGGCCATACAATTTAAATTAATGGTGAATGATACGCTGCAATGGCATCGGGCCAAAGAAATAGAGAGTTGAAACATGTGGCACTCATTTGCATGAATATATGAGTAATTTGTATACTCAAATATGGGCGGGAGGAAAAATTCCACATTTAGAGTCACACTGACTGAATATACAGTCAAAACATTCACTGAAATGATCCTGTATGTGGCGCTTCATCACAGTTATGGAGAAATTTATGACTGCATCGGCCAGTATGAAAATCAGTTATGTGCTGGTTGAAATCCATGCAAACAAAGTGCGATTTTCATATTTACAATTAAATCAAATGGCTTTTAAAAGAAGTGAGAGTATTTAGAAGTTTAATTTATGCTGCTTATTATATAATAAAAGGGTGTGGTGTTCATGGCAGAAGGTACGGCCTGCACATCATGTACGGATTGAACTTGGTGTTCCTTTCACCCAGATTGGGTGACACTTTGCTCCAAAATAATCACAGATATGATATGATAAAAACAAACTTAAAGTGACTTTGGCAGCAAAAAGTAATGTCGAGGAAATGATTTGTCTTTGATATTAAAGAAGTGTACGATGTTGCGTTTGGTTTTAACATGATACAAAATGTCCATTCTTTCCTTGGAGTGCAAATAGATAAAACCAGGAAGATCTGGTGTGTCTGCATTTGTTTATTTTGTCATTTATTGTCTCAAATGTGTTTACACTGTGTTATTAACGCATTGCATGCTCCCACTTCCTGCTCAAACGGTTTGATTATTTGGGTTTCGCATTTAAAAATAGTCTTGAAAGTAACATGTTTGAATTCATTCAGACTTTTTTGTCTTGACTATTAACTTTGTTATAATAAATCAAGTTAAATGATGTTTTTTTATTGTTCTTCTTTATAAAACAAATGCTGTTTTTCCACAGAAAACATGAGCTCTGAACAAATGTTTAATCAGATATGATATTACATGAATGTTGACCGTCTCACCCATTTTTCATTCAAATCTCTGTGTGGCTGCAGGTCTATATGAGCTGTCAGTTACACGGCTGTTTGCTCACAGCGCTGCATCCACACGGAGCAGGAAGAAATGCAAACTAACAGGACTGGGGACTTTCAGCAGAGAAAAGAGAAAAAAAATGCTTCAGCACGATATATGAAAAACACAATAGAAATTCTTTAAATTATTTGGAAATGATCAATATTTAAGTTATTTATTTTAAAATCTTTCTGAATGGTTGAGAAAAACTGTTTCTTTTTAATAAAATCTTCATCATGAGTTTCTCTTAACTTCATATGAGTTGTTCATTGTTTTGAGTTGTATGTCTGTGTATTTAGTGACCTTGCCATGGGCAGTCTGTTTGGGCTACATTAAAAAAAACAAAAAAACTCAAGCCTAAGTTCACTGTGACACTTACTGTTGTTTCAAGTCAAGTTGACACAAGTACAAACCAGTCTAAGAGCAAATGCTGTCAGCTGGAACTACTCCAGTGATGGGAACATTTGTTTTATATTTTTGGGTTTTTTTATGGATGAGAAAGAGGAAAAGGCAGGTAAAATGTTATTCTGCAAAAAACAAACAAACAAACAAACAAAAAAACACATATTCATGTGAAGGATTTGTAAAAAAAATAAAAAATCAACCCTCAACCAAAACTAGCTTGTAATTACTTGTTCTTTTAATCAGTGAATGTATCAACTACGACCACATACAGACTTCTCACTGTATTTTATTGCATCATTTATTTATTTAGAAATAATCTAATTGTTCTGCACCAGTCTTGAAAAGTAGGTACTAAATGTGAAGATATAACTGGCTGCCATGCATAGCTTGATTATCGTTTTTCATAGAAACAATATTGTTACCAGTCAAATGATTTGCGAGTACTGTAATAGAAAACCAACAGACTCAACGGACCTGATATGAAGGTGGTTGGTTCTGTGCAGATGATTTATCAGCTGGATAAAAGAAGAAATATGTAGCTTTTATTTAGGGAAATCAGTCTATCTGTCAGAAGTCCCTACAAAGTTCCATTGTTGAAAAACAAGATGCACTGAAGAGCTTGTATTATGATGAATATCACACTGACTGGCATGAAGAGAAATTGCAATAATTGCATGGCAGACCATGTTCCACACACTGTGGCTGGTGTCTGAATGATCAGACACCAGCCTGATGGATCAGTCTGAATACATTATAAAACTTGAAGTGGTCAAGTTGATGTATGGCAAAATGGAAACACCTGTAAAATGTTTTTTTTCCCTCACTCTTTATGCATTGATTTAAAATAGGATAATCAGTCTTCCCATCACATTTGTGTGTATGGAACCAAAAGCTATTGACTCACTTTAAAAAAAAAACAATAAAACACTTTTGTTATTTTGGGTACAACTGCAGACAAATGCATTAGCAGTGATTTTTTTTTTTCCCTTCTGATTTTACTTCTGCTAGATAATTCCCAGCATATAATATAGTGGTATAGTACAGGAAGTACTGTGCTTATCACTAATTGGCAGTTTAACTCTACCCCACTGCCTGACCAAACCTTTTATCTTTAATTGTGCTCACATTAGACTTCCAATCGGACCTATTTTGCCTTTAGCAATAGCTCAATCTGGCTAATTGGTTTCCTCGCTTTTTTAAATTGTAAGGTATTGATTATTCGAGGTTAGCCCTGTTTCGCAAATAGGAGACTCTGCTTTGCTTTTGTTTGGAAACTTTTAAATCTCTTGTCCTTACAATCTTATGGAGAGGAAACAGTAGCTAACAGACCATCTGGGTCATAAATTTCCACACACACACACAACGAAAGAGAGATACACACACACACAGAGAGAGATAGAGAGAGAGAGAGAGAGACAGAAAGAGAGAGAGAGAGAGAGAGTTTAACATAATGCATAGGTGACACAAACTTAGATCAGCTGTACTACCCCTGTACATGCTTAGAGAAATTGTTTACTTTAATTAAGCATCCCAGCACAATGCAGGGCCCCTGGATGACAAGACTGCACTTTTTAACGTGCATTTGTTTCAAGCCTGTGGATGTTATAGGGAGACCAATAGCAAATAAAGGCAGAATCAATGGGGCTTCATTAAAAGCAGCAGGCAGTCTTTAGCCTGGTCACAGCTTAATTACAGTTTCACTGACGTTTGCTTTAATTGTGGGAAATAAAGGGAATGAAGTGGAGTGAAAAGAGGGTATTAGCATATCTATCACTGGAAGAGGCCACTGGGGCAGCCCTGCGGCTGTACACCTCACCTCTAGCCCCACGGATCCACACAGCATTTAGTTTGCTTTTCTTTTTTTTTCCCCATTCTCTATGAAACCTTGTGGTAAATGCACTGAAATGCCCATTTACTTCTTTTTTTTTTTCTTGTGTCTGGCATACAGTCTTATTGGAATCAGGTAGTGTTTCAGTAAATAGAACCAAATACATGAAAATTTAAAGGTATTTACAGGCAAGCACTGTCTAATATGATTATGTGTCGCAGTGCATTTTACTTGACAAATGATAAAAGAGGCAGCAAGAAAAGTAATGCGAGCCAGTATAAGGATATCTATGATATGGATGAAGCAATGGGCCATTTTTATGAGACTGAGCTGCACTTTTCATACTGACAAAGACAATTGAATCAACATGTGATATTAACAAATCTTCATTTCAATATGTTCATTAAGCAGGTATTGATAAAATACACCTAAAGGATTCAAACAAGGCATTTTTGCTCTTCAAGTATTTACGAATTGGGGTTATTACTTATTTGCGATTGCAAAAACCAACTCCGGGTTTGATACAAATCAGGAGTAAAGTTAATGAAATAAGTGTGTACGTTTGAAATAACCTTTACATATCACATTTCCTCATTGCACCATGCTCTATATTAGTAATTTGACTGTTGGGTACAAAACGCTGTCATTAGTGACATTCGAGATACTGAAATGATTTTTCCCCAACCTGCCATGAGTTATTACATCAGTGACCTCTGTGTATTAAAATCATTTATGCATTCTAGAGAATAGAGATTTTTACAGCTACTCATTTCTTTTACCCTTCCTGTTATCCGCTGATACTCTTATGTCTCACTCATTCTCACAGCCTGAACGAACCACAGACATTTCTCAACGAGTCAGAGAGAGAAAAGTATTTTACTTCTTTGTCATATTGTGTGTGCTTTTGCTGGGTTTGTTGTAAAGAAAAGGGTAGCTTTTCCTAAACTCAGCACTTTTTTAAGTGCTTTGCTTTAAATATTGTCTATTACAATCATAGATTTTATGCTGTGGATTGGTGCAGATCTCCCTCACACTGAGATCTGCCTGAGAAAACCCGAGCAGGTCAAAACAATCTCTCTTCCACAGTGAATGTCAATGTAAATAAAAATAAAATTGATTCATAAGCAAAAATATATTTTTGTTTTTGTTAAAAAATAAATGTGCAGATTAGCAAATGTGCATGTAGATTGGTTGTGAATCAAAAATAAAATAAAAATGAAACCACTAGCATGCACCAGGCTCTAGTTTTATTCAGGAACTCCAGTAGTGTTTATTTAAAACCTTGATTGGTGTTGAGAAATAAATAATGTTGAATAAAAGCTAATCTGTTTCATAATGTTGCTGTGACTTCAGGATACTATCCTAATTCCAAAATTATCGAATTTGCTAATGTCACTCCTTCTCGATGCAAAATACACTCTCTGTGCCAAATGCCTGCAGTCACACAAACTAAAAGTAAATAAAATGAGTAAATAGTGTAAATATGAATTAATATAGAGGAGTAATATATTATTAATGCCACGTTTGTCTGTGGGTGGTGGTGGCTCTTCTCCATCGCAGCCCTAAATCTGACAATGACTGATTACCAGCCAGGATCAAACCATCCTCAGTGGTGCTCCGGAGACAGGTGAGCAGAGACCGCCTGAGTCCCATCTTCTCCCCTGGCAGTTAATAACAATTTGAGAAAAGGTTTGGGGTTAATAACACAATCATTACCTGGATGAGGCCGGGAGACAGCTGTAAGCATCTATGCAGATGGACGGCCGTCATTAGTCCTTGTCAAACAAGCCGATCTGAGAGAGCACTTCAACAGCTGAGAAAAGCCGAGCATGAAAGGCCGAGTGCTCGGCCCTGCAGCTTCATCCCGCAAGGGTTGTTTGCTTTGTTTTGGGGTTTTTTCACAGTTATTTTCACAAACTCCAATTGAGTTCTGTTTTTATAGCCTATTTTATTCATCCTCGGGTCATTTCAGGGTACGACATTTCTTTAAAATCTGTACATGTCGTGTTTCTTTGTGCTTCAGTAGATGCGACTGAGCGACCGCACTGCAAGGTCCTTCATTATTAAAAAAGATTGATCTGTAATTTGTAGAGTTCCCATCTGTCCTGGTTACGCAAAATTATGGCTAAACCAGTTAGTAAACACTTTGCCCCATTGTCTGTTGTTTTGATAATCACCCATAATAGCATCCAGCGTCAGTATGGTCTTTAAACTTGATTTAGGAGTTAATGGAATAAGAGGGAGAGGCAGTCAGTATATGCACTGGGCCTAATGTCATTAGAAATGTTTGCGGAGGCTAAATTAAATCAGTCGTAAATTGTGCTCTCAAGTAAGCCAGAAAAACCCTGCCTCTTTGACGAGAGGAGGGGCGGCGTTGGTTCATATTTTAACCTTGCGCAGAAAATGCACTTAAACAGATTAAAATAAAATAGGGAATAGTGTGTGGATGGATGGGCATGGTAATTATTTCTTGTGTTTTAATGGTTTCCTGT